GAGATTTGAGCTTTTATACTTTTTTGTGCAAGAGCTGACACGTCATCGATTCTTGTTGACGATGACGGTGCATTTTTCACACCTAACTGTAAACTTCCTCAGCGAGTTGTGATACAATCGGTGTAATCCGATCTAGTACAAAATCTTCGGGTTTTTTTCCGAAGTTAATTAACAAGAAAATTTAAATTTTTAAAAGACCCGCAAAAATCCGCGGGCTCACAAAATTATGCACAGGAAAAATTCAGTTAAACTTTTGTAAATTGTTAAAAATCCGAGTTGATGTTGTAGTCAGTGTCAAAGTGTAAGGTAAAAGTTGGAGTCAGTACTGTATATTTTCAAACAACTCCATGGCCCTGTCCAATAGCAAAACATAATACGTGGGCTATTTTTTAAATAAGGTCCGTTTTTTAATAAGAAGAAAAATACTGAAATATCATTAAAATATATTTTTTCCCATATTCTACATACTTTTATCTACTTTTCTACATAATTTCTATTTTTGTTCAAACATTTGTCATACCGCTCAAAAATTTTTAAAATTCCGACTTCAAAGAAATCTGCCGCCAGAAGACATTAGGCCATGCCGCTTGTCTTGTATGGCATGGTGGAGTTTTCTGAAGGTCACGATAAGCATCAGAATTGATTGTTGTGTCTCTTATCATAAAATTCACTAACAAAGTCCCTTTCCTGTCCCAAAAGACAGTTACCATGATCTTTCGTGCTGAAATCGAACAACAGATCATATCTTACAGTCAGTGGGCAACTCAATTTTCTTAAACATTATAAACTTCTACAGTTCAGCACACACACAGATGATACGACTGCAAATGGCATCTAAACACATGCAATGCATGCTGAAAGCAGATGCTCATGCACATTGCAGCAATCGCACGTCATTCTCACTTTCATTTACAAATGGACCTTATTTAAAAAATAGCCCTCGTATAAGAGCAGGAGTAACCAATTTCTGCCAATATCAGTATTTCATACTTTAAAGGCATCCACTTCCTTTTGTTTTTTAAACCATTTACCATTCCTTGTATGAATATAGGCTCTAAAATTGCTACTATAATTCACTTAGAATGCTGTTTGATGTGATGCAATTGTAAATTTTGAACTTTTTCATTAATTTGTACTTTTCATCGTTGCTTTTGTTTACTGCTATTGTTTTCTATATCTATCTTATATCATAAATTAAGAGTGACTGCAAATTAATTAATTAAGGCTGCAATTGATATTTTTCATTATGAATAATTTGATAACTTATGGATACAAATTCACTGAGTTCAGCGTTAATAAAGTTCCTTTAGTATTAACACACTTTCCAACTGAATTAGATGCTATGCTCTGTATTTTTCCTAATTCGATATATAGCGTAGCAGAGTCACACGCTTTACAGAATTGCAGCTGTGTCTGATACGTTTGTAGTTACGCTTCCGCGAGGAACTTGCATTTATTTCTGATTAACTTAGCTAAGAAGGATTTTTCTACCTTCAAAAGCATCCCTCGCAGGCACACTGAAAATGCTTTGCGTTGGTTACCTGATATTTTATCGATCTACCTGGGGTGTGGATTGCCTTATATCAGCGCCTAAAAAGTGAAACACGCCTAACATTGCATCGCCAACGCGGTAGCATTTCCATGCGCCGCTAACATCGTAAAATATAAAAATTCGAACATATCAAAAATTATTTGCACGTTCTTAACGGAATTTTCGGACGCCTGTTTGAATTTAAATATTTTGTTCCTTGTTCCTTTGGAACATCCTGCACGTTTCTCTTGTTAAAATTTGTTCTTTTCACCTGAAGACGACGATTATACATCAAAAGTGCTTGTGTTAATACTAAAGAAACTTTATTAACGCTGAACTCAGTGAATTTGTATCCATAAGTTATACAAACATTGGCGTGAGTTTTTAAATTTATTTTTACTTAATGAATAATTTGATCTTCTGTATTAAAATTTAAAAAATGTTATTAAAGTAGACTTTAAAAATATCGGATTTTTAATTTTGAGTTTAATTCAGGGACCACAAAATATGTTTCAAAGAAATACATGTAAAAAAAAACCATAAATCCTATTTTTAAGTAATACCAGATAATTTGCCATATTATTAATAATATAAAAGTCATTGTCGTTGTGTGTATGAATTTCTTATAACTCCTGCAATTTTTTTCCAATCCAGATGAAATTTTGCTTATATTTGTTTTATGTTCTGATGGAAAGTATAGGCTAATTATTTTGCATAAATATTAACTTTAGAATAAACATTATATCAATTTCAAATTGGTGATTGTACTTATGTTAAAATGACATCAGTGGCCTCATTTAGTTCATGCTTGACGACGGAATTTCCCTTAAGTTGCAATTTAAAATATTTTGGCAAATAGTGTATTTTAAACTTACTTCATTATATTTAAAATTTAAACTTTAAAAAAATAGCCACATCATGTCATTTCTATTATCCAATAGGAAGTAATGATCTAACAAACCGATTAGCTTCAATCTCTATTTTCTCATGAAAAGTATTCTGTCATGCTTGATGGGGAATTTCTAGTTGAGTTATAATAAGGCTAATTTGATGTAAATTGGATAATTTAATTGAATGAATTTTCTTCCAGAAATTCTAAGTTAAAATTAATTTATTATAATCATCATGAGATGGTAGCCTTCCATCCAGTCAATATTATAATTAACTTAGCCTTATAATATAACAGATCATTTGAAATGCATTTAATTATATACCAAATTAAAGAAAAGAAAATAAGCTTTTAGTAACAATAAGATTCAACTATTTTTATGGAAAAATCAAGCCTACTAGAAGATAAACAGCTACAAGGTCAAAAGTATCAAGTGTTTTCCTAGATTATATAACTATTACCAATATATTTTAACACCTGCACACTTTTTAATTCTGAAAGCAATGAAAAGAAATAAAGCAGGTATGAATGAAGTAGTAAAATTTATAGAAACCATAGCTGTCTGTAGACAATATTAGAACAAACGGTTGCAATGCAAATCATTCACATGAAAAAAAAATGTATAGTTTGATCTTTTCTTCTATCATTTCTAATTGAATCATCATATCAATATTATTCTATTAATATTAATAAAAGCATTTCTAAAATATTCGTAATTCTATTAAACTACTAATCTCCAATGTATAGAATAGTTACAATGTCTTGTCATTATCAAATTCTATTTTTTTTCTTCTATGTAGGAGTATACACAAACATAATTACTTGTATTACAAATACATAAGTTAACATGGTGACTGCCATATTTGTTTTAGACCAACGGTGGGCAACCCCCGGCCCGCAAAAAGTTTCTATGCGGCCCGAAATTATAAATAAATATTTTTTGATGTAATTCATCTAGTTTAAATTGAATATTATTTTCTGAAGTGTTGTGGCAGCAATGACGGGAAAAAATAAGGGAGTCATTTCCTTATTCAAACAAAAAATGGGAGAACAGAATTTTTCTAAATTATTTATATCTCATTGCATCATCCATCAAGAAAATCTGTGCGCAAAAGCTATGCAATTAGAAAATGTAATGTCTGTCGTATCAAACTACATAGTGCTGTTTTTATTGTGTTTAAAGTCACTTAGATTTTACAAATAGGTGAGCCGTTCACAGCCTGGCACACGCATTTGTAAAATCTAAGTGACTTATACAACATGGAATTCATGTAAAACGGAATAATCAACAGTGTTATAGGGGGGTCAACTGTAGTAATTAATTAATTTCTTTTTATTTATTTATTTATTTCATATTTGCAGACTAAAAATTTATAGGTCACAAGGTGTCAATTAACTACTATAGCCCTCAGAAAAAACGTAAAATTTATTCTGGCCCATGTTATAAAAAAGGTTGCCCACCCTTGTTTTAGACCAGTGTTTCTCAACCTCTAACGAATCGTCGTCCCCTTCAACATAGTTTCGCCCCCTTCACTTCAAAATTCCAATGCCGAGAGCCAAGGCTAACGCCAAATTCGTACTGCATCGAATAGACTAGTGACTAGTATAATGTTATTTGTTTAATTATTGTACGATATAATGAATAAAATATCTAATTAATCTTAATATAATGTTCTACTATATCGCCCAGAAAATTGTTTTTCTCCCCCCAAAATATAAATTATTACTAATCGCCCCCTCAACATGGAAAAACGCCCCCGTTGAGAAACACTGTTTTAGACTATAGTTGGCAATCTGTTATGACATGCCACCTACAAGTTGCCTCATAAAACATATTACCTTTAGTGCTAGAAATGAGTATATTCTTAGCAAATAAAAGTAAAAATCAAGTAGTTTGCATCTGAAATAAGACTGAAAAATAACTATGCCACCAGAAAATAGAATATTTTAGTTTTATGAAACTTTTACTTATTTTGTATTACTTTTATGTGAATAAATATGTGTTTATTGATACAAGGAATGGTAAATGGTTTAAAAAACAAAAAGAAAATTGAAAATTCATTCAATTTTGTTGGCAATTTTCTATACTAAGAAAAGCTTCTTTGGAACATATTGAACAATATCAAGTTTCACAAGATATTTTATCTTTCATATTTCGAAACCGTGTTGTATCTTTATATTATTTTTTCAAAACTGTAATGCAGCGTAATAATCAACACTTGGAATAACTCATTCATTTATTTCGTATACGAAATAAACGAATGAGTTATGCCAAGTGTTGATTATTACACTGCATTGCAATTTTGAAAAAAAAAAAAAAAAGATATTTTATCTTTCTGTGCATATTGAACATGGTTTGATCAGGCATTTTTTTTTAATGGAAAAGCTTCTAAATAATGAAATTAAATTCATCTTTAGTCATAATTCTCTTTTCAGCATTTGGTAATTTTACATCCAAACACTTTTCTTTAAATTTCAGACTTTTTATAGTTGAACCCAGTCATTTTGCAAAGATGTACACATTATGTGTAATTATTTCCAGACCAGTTATATAATGCAATTTTTCAGCCATCTGATAACTTTTCTTAGTGTTGAATAATTAAAAAATAGCCCTCTTACATATATACCTTGATGGGTAAAACATTAGCTAGCTGAGCGCCATTGTGGTGATGTACAATACAGGCATACCTCGACTTACGTCGTTTCGAGTTACGTCGTTCCCGATTATACGTCGTTTGTCANTTGAAAATGACCAAAAGAACTAAGTTTTTGTACTGTAGCATTAAGTTTTTATTTTTATTTTTTTATTAAATTAAATAAGCATAAATATCATAATCCTACTTTTTGTGTGCTATTTGAAGAATTACATGGATTTATAATTCTTGCTTCACTGAAGAGTCTGTCTTGATCACCATCATAGTATCTGTTTTAAAAATACACACAATTAGAATAAAAATACATATTCATTATTATTTCATTTTGAAATAAAAGCTTTTAAACACTACTATACTAAACATTCACAAATGTAAATAATATTTCATAAATTTGCTTAATGCAAAAAATGTTTAAAAAAAACTTTTATCTCATTATTATGCAACTGTAAACCTTTTCATTTACAAATAATTGCATTTTTCATTAATATATTAATGAAAATACTACTAGATATATATTAAATCGATTTTTTTAGTTTGTTCTCTTTTAACAAATCATAATTAATGTGACACTCAATTTTTCATACATGCATGATACAAAATTCAAATACTGATTTAAATATGCAGTTTGAAACTGTAACTGTGGCTCTAATAATAGCCAAAATTACAGTTTCAAACTGCATATTTTCATTTCTTGAGGGCAGTTATTATTCTAAAATTTATTTAACTTTTCTACACAATACATTTATATAAACTGAATCTTTGTATTGTGAATCATTTTATTTTGCATGTTTCAAAAAGACATGCAAGTATTTAAATGTATTTTTGTAATGACATTTTACTAATTCTCATATATAAACTGTATTACTTCATACACTAATTAAAATAAAAATTGTGTAATCACAGTGTTAATCTTGTGCTAGTATCTTTTTCTTCCTTGCAAAAACTTAAATACAAAAATAAATTTACCTTAAAAATACACTAAATAAATTCATCTTGTTTTAATCCGATGTTTCATAAAACATTTATTTGTCCAGTTTGAAAAAATAATTATACAAAATATTCAAACAAGAACTGAAACTTGCTTTTATCAAATTACAGGAAATTAGCAGCAATAGAACTGAAGGAAAATACAGTAGAGTCTCGAAAACTCGGCCTAATGTGGACCGAAGGGTGGCCGAGTTTGTGAAAATGCCGGGTTATCGGGAATGGAGTTAAAAAAAAATAAATATGAGTGTTTCCTCAGAATATACTGTACTGTACTTGTATGTATTGTTTACTTGAGAATACAACAGAGAATAAACTGTCCAAATACCCTTAAACAAAGGAAAAGTACGTCCTTTATGAAGGCATAGAGCCTTTACTACATGAAAATGAAAATTAATGAATACACTGTGTACAGTAATTTACCTGATAAGACAGACCTCAGAAAAATACTTTATGAG